TGACACTCGCTGCCTTTTAATAGTCATTCTATAAATGCTGTCCGTTTAAATGGTCTTACCTGTAAACACTGCATATCCACCGGATTGCAGCCAGAGTGGATTCTGGAGTCTTCCACGCTCCTGTTATTGATCCTCCATCTGGATGGATGAGAACAACCTTCTGAACAATCTAGCAGGAGATGGCCCATATCTATGGGACTGATTTGTGCTAATAACGCCCATTGTATGGACTGATAACAGCCGAAGCGGGTGAATAAAGTCACCCAGTAGCTAGCTGTGCCATTACCCAGCATACATCACTCCCTCCGTAAATGCAATAAACCATACAAAAGCATCGTTCTACCTGTTTTTCAGGTAGTTGTTTACATTATATAATTTATTGTGTTCAGTATACGTCACTACAATGTGATTTCGGAAATATATACTGACAACAGGCTCTTCCGCGGCAATCTCTTCAATCGGAGGACCCTTCACGTCAATTCCCGATGCGAGGGGGTACCCTGCGCGTCCATAAGTGCAGCAGAGGGAGCCTGACCATGCATCACACGTTTGACGAGTTGGGAGTGAGAACGTGTTGTTATTACACAGCTGAATAAACATCAAGCAGACAACTGATTATCAGAAGTGTGAGATGCTCGAGAATATACTCCGGTGTCCGGTTATATTTTAGATAGCAAGGAGTTTATTAAATTTCACCGAAACAATCTGCAAATTTCATTAAAATTTAATAAACTATCATCTTGTCTTTATTTTTAGTTAGCACAGACCTTAAACACTTAAAGCTATAAGCTAATAATAGTTATATAAGAGCAGATGCATGCTGCAATAAGCTGTACGTCCAATGGATCTGATTAGTCGACTAATCGCAAAAATAATCGGTGACTGGTCGACTATCAAAATAATCGTTTGTGGCAGCCCTACTTTCTAGTATTACTCTTATTACTGTTTCTGGGTCACAAAATAAACGTTTAACATATTTTCAGAGAGAATGTAGCTGTGTAAACCTCAAACATCTGCTCAGTTTATCAAGACACCACATATTTGCAAAAGTGCACCGACGTTTTCAGAGACATCTGTTACCCACCAGCTTGATAGCTAGCTGGGGTAAGGTTCACTAGATCCGTGTAGAACAGCGAACACCCGGCACATCGTTTTCAAACCCCCGCGGTCTTTTGCTACTCAGGTTAAACATGATATATAAGTCACTTAGATAACCTAAAAAATGTTATTGTTTGGCTTTTTTCAGTGTTTTATTTGTTCCGGAGTAATTCGGTTTGGCTGAGATTAAAGTTATAGATTTTACACATCTGAATAAACGTCAAACAGAAAACTGATTAAACAGAAGTTTGAGATGGTCGAGAATTTACTCCAATGTCCTGTTAAATTTTAGGGAGCAAAGAGCAGACGACTTAATTTATTAAACCACTGAGACAATTTCCAAATTTATTAAAAGTCTAATCTATCATCTTGTCTTTATTTTTAGTTAGCACATACTTTAAACACTTCAAGCAGTAAACTAATTATAGTTATATAAGAGCAGATGAATGCTGGTGCAATAGGCCGTATGTTTTACGTCCAATGGATACATCATCTGATTAGTCGACTAATCGCAAAAATAATTGATGACTAGTCGACTATGAAAATAATCGTTTGTGGCAGCCCTACTACAGACAATAATCAAGTTTACATGAAAAACTATATTTTTCTATCTCCAAAGTTGATTCTGTTCATCTGGACGTAGCGTTTTGTGGGAGAAACGTTTCGTCACTCATCCAAGTGACTTCTTCAGTCTCAGCTGACTGCAGGGTTCTCCAAATCTTATAAACAGTACATTTGTATAATGACTGAAACCAGCCCACCAAGGGAACAATGGGCTGGGAGGTCAGTTCCTTAATCATAATTACGAAAATTCTCATGACCGTTGATCAACAACCACTGACCAAAACCCACTGATCAAAGACCACAGATCAATGGCCATGAGTACCATTCACAGAGAGTTGGGGAATGGCTGAAATCACAGCATTGTAAGATGGCGAAAGATGTACCCTTAGGCCCCCTCCTCGATTCAGAGATGGTCTTTCCCTTTTCACGTAAATGGCCTCCTTGACTCCGCGCTCAAACCAGCGTTCCTCTCTGTCCAGGATGTGTACATCCTCATCATTGAAAGAGTGTCCACTGGCCTGTAGGTGTAAATAGACCGCAGAGTCCTGGCGAGACGAGGTAGCTCTTCTGTGTTGTGCCGTCCGCTCCGCCAGAGGTTGTTTGGTTTCCCCGATGTATAAATCCTGGCAATCCTCCTGGCACTTAACAGCGTACACTATTTTACTCTGTTTGTGTCGGGGGACCCGATCCTTGGGGTGGACCAATTTTTGGCGCAGCGTGTTTTGGGGTTTAAAAGCCACAGAGACCTGGGCCCTATTTCAGGAAACCGGTTTAGAAAACTCAGAGTGAAAAACGATACTCAGGGTTGAGTAACCCCGAACTGTCCAACTCGGAATATTCGGTTTCAGAAAGGCTGATAACAATTAGTTCAATCAATGCGGAGTTGCTTTAACCCCAAGTTAAGCGCGCGCACGAGAATACGTAAAGCCCTGATTAGTGGAGCACAGATTAAGCGAGTCACCATGGAGACGGAGGGAAAGAAGGCGCGGTCAATGTATTTTACAGCGCTTGAGGCCGAAATTCTGATGGCAGCATATGCCGATAACATGCAAATTTTGCGGGAAAAAAGTATTACAGCCTCAGCTGTAAAAGAAAGGGAGCATGCATGGCAAAACATAGCCGACAGAGTCAATGCGTGAGTGTTAATTTAAACATTGATGTGACCCAACAGGCCCCAAACGTTCCTGGCAGCAAGTAAAAATGAAATATAAAAATATAGTCCAAACAGGTAAGGTGTAATTGTATTATGAGCCATAGTGCTTGGTCTGTTTGTCCGATGTAAATCAATTGCAGTTAGAGGCTACATTAATTTTCTTTCTGTAAGCACTTATTGAAATTATCTGAGCACATTACAAGTACATATTTGCTTACTCTGTATGCTCAAATGTGACCCGTTATAGCCAACAGAAAAAAAGCGGAGGCCCGAAAAACAGGTGGGGGTCCTCCACCACCACCACTCACAGAGGCCGAGCAGTTGGCGTCCACATTTGTGATAATGTTGGCAGCATCACATATGATCTTCACAGTGCAGAGAACACAAATTAGCATCCATTACTATAATAAAATAATTTGTTAGTTTGACATGCTACAGGGAACTATGTACCTGTACATTAATGCTGTGGAAAGACTTCCTGTTCACATAGTCTCCTTCATTTACCGAAGGAGCAATGATTGGAATGTGAGTGCCATCTATACAGCCAACCACGCCTGGGAACCGTGAAAATAAATGTAAAATTTAAGTAGTAGTTCAAATATCACCACATCATGAATTAAGTTTTGGTCATCCTGATACCTGCAATTTTGTGGCATCCCTCTTTGATAAATCTTGTGGGTCTATGACCGGGGAACACCACAGACGAGTACAGGAGACGTTTCAGTGCAACGGTAACATTCCTGACTGCCCGACAGACGGTAGCCTTGGAAACGTGCTCAGCGTCATCAATATTATACAGAAAGCTCCCGTTTGCAAAAAACCGAAGTGCAATACAAATAATATGTACAGAACTGAGAGAATTTCCACGATGTGTCACATGAGCAATATTAGGCCTGAGGATGTTATTCAAATGAATTATAGATTGTGCTGAAAAACGGTAACGTTCACACAGAAAATCATCAGGAAATGATAAAATGTCCAAACGCGCTCTAATCACTCTCTCCCGGCGGAAAGCAGGTTAGCTTCACAGAGTGTGTCATCATAGTGACTCACTCAGGATTAATCTAAACTCGCTTTGTGAAACCGAAAAGCCAGAGTTTTCGTTAAATCAGGGTATACTTACTCAGAGTTTGCACTAAACCGGCTTCCTGAAATAGGGCCCAGACCTCCAAAGATCTGGCTGACAAAGTCTACTTTCTGCCGATTACAGCAGAGTACATCACTCAGGTATGGATTCACTCTGTTGCAACTCTGTGACTGATGAAAGAAGAGAAACTGTGGACACAGTGAAATTTGTAGGTCAACTGTTTTTTGTTTGTTTGTTTTTTCGGATCAGTCAGTATTGACCCCAGATTGTGTTTGTCTTAAAGACTGAGGGGTCTCACATAATCACAGCCCACCACAGAACACAGAGCAGTTCTGCACAGGTGTGTTTGTAGCTTTGGTGACTGTTGAAGGTAGTTCAGTCTTCTTTTGTGTCTGTATTGTAGGATTTGGGGCAGTGGGTTCTAGGACAACCTTTATTTTTATTTCTTTACTGTGGATAAGATACACTTTTACGTGGTCCATCACTTTGTTTGGTTGAACACTTGAATGCAGCACTAGCAAAGCAAAGGCAAAACATGAGCTTTGTGTTACAGCCCTTAAATCCGCGGCTCCATTGGAAGTCATCATGTAAGATAAAGGTTGGTGCTGGTGGACTAAAGAGAGCTCGTTGCTCCACTCTGGTTTTTATATAGATGCAATATAGTGACAACAGCCAGTAATTAATTAGTAAGAGAGGAAAAATAAGAGTGCAGATTAATAATGATAATGAAAAGAAACAAGTTTGAGGACAAATATTCCCTCAGATTTTTACCTTCTTTGCCCAGGTTTATTTAATGTAGTTTGTTATTATTTTTATTTTTAAATTTCAGTGTTCATAATACATTTCTGTAAAAATGTGCTGGCTCAAAGATATAAAAATCCCCGCTCAGCTTTCTACCTGCATCCATCATACGGCAGTATAGAGTGGAAACGAAGAGGCTAAAAAAAAAAAAAAAGATGACTTAAGCTGCTTTTAGTTCAGTTGCAGACTTCCAAATGTCTTGGACGGGATGAAATTCCCAGTGTGAAATCCACAGAGCTGTTTGTCTCATTTTCATGTGTTGTGAGTGCTTCGTGTCATTACATCTTGTTGTTACAGGTGATAAAAAATGAGCGCCCGGACGGCGTCCTGCTGACTTTTGGAGGTCAGACTGCACTGAACTGCGGTGTAGAGCTGACCAAGCTGGGCGTTCTGGAGAAATATAAAGTGCAGGTTCTGGGAACTCCTGTTTCCTCCATTGAGATGACCGAAGACAGGAAAATCTTTGTGGAGAAAATGGAAGAGATCAATGAGCATGTAGCTCCCAGTGAAGCAGCTCTGTCGGTGGAACAGGTGAGGAGACGTGTTCGCTTATAAATTAATAGCTTCTGGATTGTTTTTTGCCCCAGTGAAGTCTAAATTTATCTGATTAACTCTGCTGTAGGCGGTGGCGGCTGCTGAGCGTCTTGGCTACCCCGTCTTGGTTCGTTCAGCGTTCGCTCTCGGAGGCCTCTGCTCCGGTTTTGCCAACAACAGAGAGGAGCTGACCTCTCTGGTAACGGCAGCATTCGCTCACACCTCTCAGGTGCTGGTGGACAAATCCCTGAAAGGCTGGAAGGAGATTGAGTACGAGGTGGTCCGGGATGCCTATGACAACTGTGTGACTGTGAGTAAAAGGAGACCAGAGAACAAACAGCTTATACTCTCTAAAAAAAAAACTGAGGGCGATTTAAAGTGGCTGTTGTTTCCTCTTGTTTAGGTGTGTAATATGGAGAACATCGACCCACTGGGTATCCACACTGGGGAATCCGTTGTAGTGGCTCCCAGTCAGACGCTTAATGACCGCGAGTACAACATGCTGAGAAACACGGCCATTAAAGTCATCAGACATCTCGGCATCGTGGGAGAGTGTAACATCCAGTACGCTCTTAACCCCGAATCTGAACAGGTAAGCATATATGTGAAGACCTGGGTGATGAAAAGCACAAATAGGACTGTGTTCACCTATAAAGTGGATCTGTTTTGCATTTCCTTATTTTAAAGCCAGTGACATGCTGTAATGAATAGTACAGAAAGTGTAGGTATATTGAAATAAGCATGGGTGGTAACATGACTTTAAGTATATACAGTTTATATGGCTATAGGATGTACAGAGTGTGCGGCTGGATCTGCAGATAATGTAACAGCCAGGTATGTCAACGGCTTACATTTACTGTTTTGGCTCCAAACCAAGGTTGTAAAAAGTCTTTGCTATGTAAATTCTAGTTCAATAAGTTTTAAAAGAAAATTGTTTTAGGTATCAATGTGACCAAGTTCATTTCATACAAACCAGGAATAGATTTGTATGAATAGGCTTTATGTATCAGAACAGGCCTTTAAACAGGTCTTGTGTGCATGGGGAGCTGGTATTCCTGCTCCTGGTCTAATTCCCGTAATGTGTGTGATTGAATTGTATCTTCTATGTATAATGTGTTGCAGTACTACATCATTGAGGTGAATGCCCGCCTGTCACGGAGCTCTGCTCTGGCCAGTAAAGCGACTGGTTATCCTTTGGCCTACGTAGCAGCTAAACTTGGTCTGGGGATCCCGCTGCCACAGCTCAAGTACGTCTCTCAGCTTAAGAACGGCGGATAATGATCTAACAGGGGCATCGCTGCTTTTAAAGAATGATGACATCCAACAAAGACGTTCCAGTATTCTGCTAAACTGAACATTTTTTAAAAGTGGGGTTTAAAGTATTCAAGCTTAAAATCAATTTTTCTATATTAAACGACCAAAAAACAATTGTGATGCATAGATGCCTGTAAAGTAAGGCAGCACAGACTCGCTGCCTTCACTGCATGTGGACCTGTTGTGCTTACCCTGAATAGTCACCCCCACAGTGTCACACCGACCCAGGAAACATGTAGCTAGTCAATCATTACACTTAAAGACATCTGATCATTGAAATTCAATCATTTTTTTTAGTATAAACGTTTTCACAATTTTTCATCAGCAAAGAAATTTGGAAATGTTGGTGACAAGATGATATTCATCACCTGCACAGCTGGCAGTTTGGTTAATTTGAAGTTATTGTTTTGACAAAACTGCTTTGAGCAGTTGCAGCATAAGCATTGTAGTTTTTTTTATTTTTTGGCATAAATGTCTTAACTGTAAAGCGCCTTTAAATTAAGTGATTCACCCATGAAAAATATTTGCACTGCGTCTGTATTTTTGTCCAGAAACTCAGTGACAAACTCAACGACAGCAAACTTTGAGCCGAGTTTGGATTACTGTGTGGTGAAGGTGCCTCGCTGGGATCTCAGCAAGTTCCTCAGGGTTTCCACCAAGATAGGCAGCTCCATGAAGAGTGTTGGTAAGAGGCAAAAGCGAGCTTGGAACAAAAATATGTTGTAACAAATTGTAAATAGGTAGTAGATTTAGTACTGTTAGTATTCCAGAACATTTTAAAAATACTTAGTTTGGTCTCAGTAAAGCTAACAATAAATTCAGATGGTCATTTTTTGCACCTACTATGTTTTTTTTCTTTCTTTTTTTATTCTTATTTATTTATTTTTTCTGCACTGCTATCACAGCAGATTTCTCCATGAGGGCATTAAAGTTTTACTCTACTGCTTTATTTCACAGTTTGATTATAAAGTTAACCTTTACCAGTGCGAGCAGAGAAGCCAGTAAGTCAGGTGCTTATTATGGATATTGTGCTCAGTGCTTGAACCTTTTCTTCAACAGGGGAGGTGATGGCTATTGGTCGTAGCTTTGAGGAAGCCTTCCAGAAAGCTCTGAGGATGGTGGATGAGAACTGTGTTGGCTTTGACCACACCATCAAGCCTGTCTCTGAAAAGGTAACCTCCCATAGCTGAAGTCCAGGTTAAATGGTTGTACTGGTTAAAAAATGCCTTGCTGCTGCACGACCTGTTCACTGCAGTGTCAGCAAATACTTTATCTCAGGTTGAAAGATTTTTAACCATTTTCAGCCAACCATGCAATGATATGATGATTCATATTTGGTCAGAACACAACATTGGTGCTTTTGCTATGCAATGCCATCGGCTTTTAAGGATGAGTGATGGTGCTGCACATTAAAGCATGTTGATCTGTTTTACTACACCTCTATTAGGATGGTGACCCTATAAATGATTGTGATAAGGACATTTTAAAAGGTCAAAACTGTATTGTTCTGTCTTAACGGGACCAGTAGATGGTGCCAGATCTCCCCTGAGCTATCTACTACTGTAATGCTTCCTGCTTCTGGGTTTTTTGAGGAATGTTTCATTGCATGCTGTTAATCATGTTCTGCTACTATGTGTGTGGCTGATTTATTTTTATTTATTTATTTATTTTGAGAAAATAAGCCCAAATGTCTGAGCTGATGCTCATGGCTGGCAAATAACTAGCAGCACTTTACTTCACAGTTAGTATGTTGTGCTCCCTCTGCTTACCAGGAGACTCCTACAGATAAGCGTATCTTTGTGCTGGCGGCAGCATTCAAAGCTGGCTACACTGTGGAAAAGCTGTATGAGCTGACCAAAATCGACCGCTGGTTCCTGCACATTAGGGTATTATCAGCATGAAATGTTATTTTAGATAAAGTGCTGAAATAGATTTTTCCAGCTTTCAGCACTGATGTTATGATTTTATGGTTTATCCAAACTATTTGCATTGACTTGTGTTTGCAGAACAAGAGTGAGCTGCTGCCCACCGTGCAGGCCCTGGAGTCTTTGGGATATGACCTGTATGCCAGCATGGGCACGGCTGACTTCTACACAGAGCATGGAGTCAAGGTAATTCTTTTAACACAGGCTTCATTTTTTGGAGTAACAAACTTTATTTAAATCAAAATCGACTTATTTTGCAGTGGCACATCTGTGAGTGACTCATGAATATGGTCGTGTTTATGTGTATTTGTTTTTAAATGCTTTAATCCTGGTAACCTTTACATCTTTATCATTCCTCTTGAATTGCACATTAAACCAAAGATTCCAGATGAGCAGCACTTATACATGGATACAATGTAACTGTAAAAAATGTTTTATTTTGCTAGAGCTTTTGAAAAACAGCAGAAATTTATTTCGAAATGTCATTGCTCATAGTTGTGGCGTTCACTTAAGTACTTTAATAACACTCTATTTTAAGTATTAATCTATGACAGGATGAAATCAGGATAGAAACTTTAAGACTCTTTAAGATATTGTCTTTAAGTTTGTTTTGTCTCCTTGTACAGGTGACTGCAATCGATTGGCCGTTTGAGGAGTACGATAGCGATGAATGTGCCACCAAAGAGAAGCAGCGCAGCATCATGAACTACCTGGAGGAGAACCACTTCGACCTTGTCATTAACCTCTCCATGAGGAACAGCGGAGGTCGAAGGCTCTCCTCCTTTGTCACCAAAGGCTACAGGAGACAAGCTATGCAGACAAACTAGTACAAAGATACCGGGTGAAGTATTTTGGTTTTTGATTGAATCACAGGTCTCCGGACCGTGCTCTCTCGGGCTCCGTGCTTATGTGTTTAAAAATCTGTTAAACTATATTAAAATTGTTTAGTTAAACTTGTGCTTTTGTAACGTTCAGTATGGCCGGAAATACAGGCTGCATGCCTTGGGGCAAAACTTTATTTCGATTTATATGCATTTGTAGATTTAGAATAAAACTCATAGTCAGAAAAAAACTCTCGCGATCCCCGCAGCCCCCTTAACCTAATCCTTAGAAACATAAGCAGGGAAAACTCCTTAAAAACTCCTCCGCGATTTCCCCAAAAACCCTAGAATAACTTGTTAGCTACCCTCTATTCCCAAAAGCCTTATAATCCAAAACAGGGGGAAAACTCCTTAGTCTTTTTTCTTCAAAAACTTCCCTCTTACTAGCAACCTCTAAAATTCAACGCACAGTCTAAGTTCTACCTCGCTCTTAATCGCCGACCCTTCCAGAGCAGAGCACAATTTTTTCCTCCTTGTTCGTTCCCCGCTCTGCTCCTAAATGCGCTGCTTACATCGTTTGAAAATTTTCCGCCAGAGACCAACTCCCCCTCACTTCGCCCCCTGCCAATCACATAACAAATCGCACAGCTCCCTTCGCACCCCGGTTAACCAATCAGCTCCAGGTCTGATTTTACGATCTCCCGCTGAGGTTAAGACTACCGTCGAGCTCCCAGAAGACCTCTGACTTCAGACATATCAACAACTGGCGCCGCTCAGACTGCTTGCGAGCTCGCAACAGCCACGAAACCAGGGATCAACAACAACTGCCTTCGCGTGCCCTATGGGCATATCACTCGGTAAGTGTTAATCTTCCCCCTTTAACTACATTTTCGCATTTTCCTTTTTACCATTCTCTCAAAAGCTTTTTCATCTTCAAAAGCCATGCAAAATAGCTTCTGTAACACTTGGAATACACTTTTTAAAAATATAAATAAGCTCGCCTCTAACACTCAGAGCTAAAAAGTGCATTTGTACACTAAACTGTAGCAGCGATCATGTCCTCATCAGGTACCTCATTCTTCTCACTCTTGTTCATATAATGTTTATATTTTACTGTTTTTCCCCGCTTGTAAATACTCATTGTTATTTCTTTTCAGACTCTGAGATAAGCGAGCTCAATTCCTCTCTTTTTGGTTCTCTCGATCGAGTTGGTAGGTTTGGTTGGTTCATTCTTCTCCTCCCTCTTAACAGCTAATTGTACGAGAAAAACAAAACATTTACCCTCTTTTTCATTTTTATCAAACTTTCTAGATATCTCAGACTTGGACAGCTTTATTTTTTCGAGTTCGCCGAATTCTTCTCCACCAGTGCTTGAGCGATCCACAGGCAAGAACATTCGTCTCTCAACACAGGACAGACAGCATCTGCTCTCTACGCTAGATCGCCCCGCTTCATCCGGCCCCAGTTCCATCCCCGCCGGAGCTTGTTCTCTCCAGCGACCCTCTGGGAAAAACTTGCGCCTGTCCGCCGGGGACAGGCAAAACTCGCTCTCCGATCTCACTCCGGATGCTCCGGCCAATCGGAGCCCCAGAAACGCTTCTTCTTCTCCGCCATCACACACACGAAATGCACCGCGCCTGCCTTTGAGACCCAATCACGGTCAGTCTCTCTAGGTTCTCGCTTTTTCTCATTTTTATAAAAACTATCCCTTTTCTATTTAACTTTACTAACTGTTTGTATCTTACCCTCAAATTCTCAGGGCATCTCAGAAGGAGGAATAGCAGGACCGGTAGGATCGCAAGGACAACGAGGACAACGAGGACAAGGCAAACACACACACGAAGGCAGCTCGCTTCAATCGCTCTTCGTGCGGTATCTCTGTTCGCTGAATTAGTTCAGCTCATCTTATAAAAAGTTTTTTTTTTTTTTCATTTTGTTTTTTCAAACAAACTGTCTTTTGTGGTTTTTTGTTCTTTTAATATATTCCTGTTAAGCAATAATAATAAAAAATGGATAACCAGGAACAAGATATTACAGACCCATTTCTTGCTTTAGAAACAGCGTTAGCTAGGTTAAATGAAAATACACAGCTCAGGAGGGCGAAGCTGGAGCTGCCCGCACCAGGTACTTCTGCACCAAACAATCCATTTTCTATAAATTATCAAAAAGTCTGCTCTTCTCAAGTAAATCAATCTCCAGTTGGTTTTAACCCTTGTATGGTGTTCGGGTCTGTGAGACCCGTTTTCAGTTTTTTTTTGAAAAGAAAAATTAAACAATTTATTTTTTCAACCTGAAATTCATTGGCTTTGGCTTATTTTCTGTGAAGAACATAAACTAATTTTCAATGACCTCATACTGTACCTCCCCCCACACATTTACATTACATACAAGGTGTTCGGGTCCACTGGACCCAGGTCTAATAAAAGTGTTGAAAGTGTAGGTCCTGTGTTCCCACACTCTGTCTTCCTCCTTTCTGGTGCTGCTGATAGTGTTTTCTTCCCCTCCTGCTCCCGCACAAAGTTGCAACATTGTTGAAAATTCAACTATCAACACGTCTGCTCTTACATTCCCACACATTTTACCCTCTTTCTTGAGGGATCCAAATTTTATTTTCTCATACCCTGTCCCACCTGCAAATTAGGGGCATAATACTATAAATAAGACGTTGCCAGTGTGGTTCCTTATCACAACTGATCAAGATGGCAAAAGATTATCTGCTGCGAGGGCCATCCAATTGATTTTGGAAGAGAGAGGGGCTTCGGATGATGATGTTGACAAAGAGGTTTCAGAATATTTCACATTTCTGAAAATTCAGAGTCTGACAGTGACTTTGAAGAAGAGGATGAGGTTGAGCACCATTTAGTAACAAAACGAAGACGAGTACTCCATCTGCAGCCAGCTCCAGGACCAGAACAAGCCCACCAGACAGCAAGTGAAGAAATATGGATGTCAATAACTGGTGAAATTGAATGGTCTTCTTGCCCAAGAAATGAGCCACCCTGCAGAGCTGTTACTGTGATAAGCCAGGGCCAACGGCTGACAGTTACTCATGTGCAGGACATCAAGTCTTCATTTGAGCTTTTCATCCCAGATTCCATCCAGAAAATTATTCTGGATTGCAGTAATCTAGAAGGAAAGTGTGTTTTTGGAGAGAGGTGGAAGGAGATGGACCAAATTCCTCCAAGAACCCCAAAGGCCTACTTTGGGGTTCTTATCCTTGCAGGAGTTTTCAGGTCCGAAGGGGAATCCACAGAATCCTGTGGGATGCAGAAACCGGCAAGAACCTTTCCGTGCATCAATGTCTCTGGAAAACTTCCACAAAATTTCCAGGATTATCCGTTTTGATAACCGAGATGACAGACCAGCTCGACGGCAAAGAGACAAGCTAGCTGCCATCAGGACAGTGTGGGATAAGTGTGTGCACCACCTCCCCTGTTTTACAACCCTGGGCCTAATGTCACCATTGATGAGCAGCTGATCCCATTTAGTTGTGAAACATATTGCTTCACGTGTAAATGTGTTGTGTCTTTCCACTCACTCCACTTGATTATAACTGATTTATTTTTTTATAACATTTTATAAAAACAAACAAACAAACGAGAAGCACATTAATTCATAAATGTGATCTAACAAAGGGAAAAGGAAAAAATTAACCATCTTTGCTGTTCATATGGCTTGTAATTGGGATGAAGTAAACATCTGTTGAGTAATTTAACATAAAATTGTTTGATAGTGTTAATTTGGAAAGCCAAAACTCTAGCGGGTCCACCAGACCCATGAACACTGGCTGAGTAACAAAAATATGAACACCACACAAGGGTTAAATCTGTTGGACCCATAAACAATATTCAAAAATTGTCTTTCCATTAAATGCAAATTCTTTTTCTTTCAACTGCTTGAACTATGTTATTTTAAAATTGACAGTAGAGCAGAAGTCACTGCATCATTTCATCATCAACACGAACCTGAAAAAAGCTGTCTGATATATAGATAAAATAATAACAAACAAACAAACATACAGATATCACTAAACAAAACACCTTATCTTGGTTTTCTAGGTGTTGCTGATGGTGACATAGGAAACTTCAGGATCCACCTAAACAATGAAGAGAAAAATGGTAAAAATGGTAAATGGCCTGCATTTGTATAGCGCTTTTCTAGTCCATAGGACCCCAAAGCGCTTTACACTACATTCAGTCATTCACCCATTCACACACACATTCACACACTGGCGATAGCAAGCTACATTGTAGCCACAGCTGCCCTGGGGCGCACTGACAGAGGCGCGCCCCATGCTGACTCCTCAGTAATATCCATCCACTTATCCTTTTCAGTGTCGCGGGGGGTGCTGGAGCCTATCCCAGCTGTCATAAGGCGAGAGGCGGGGTACAGCTGTGTCGTTGTCAAAGAATGACAAAGAAAGAATCTAGTTGTCGTCCTGCAGAGGCAGCCCTCTCCGCCCATCCCAACCTTGCAGAAAAAGCTGGCAAATCTTGCGCCATCTAGGCCCTCCTCTGTTTTTAGCCAGCGCTCGTCTAGAACTCTGAGTAACTCACTGCAAATTTTTTCACATTTTGCCCTGTATGACAACTCTATAAATAAAAAAAAATTGCATTCACAGAATTGCTCAGTGTCAGCACCAAACCACCCACCACCCAATGAAATTCCCAGCCAGCAGGGTAAGATTTGTGCAAATTATAAACCTTTATTTTCCTGATCCCTGCCCTGCCTTCAGTCCCCTGTTGTGCTTCAGATGATCAACAGGAAGTGTTCAGAGTGCTGTCAGCCTTACGTTGGTGTCTGAGGAAAGAGCGGTGACAACTGGAGGTTCAGATGGGTTGCACAGATTCACACGAGACCCACTACAATCTGGTAAACAGGTATTGCAGTCAGGCACCACTGAACAGCAGGGTAATGTGTGCAGGCATAAGATGCCAGAACAACAGGGATTTCTATCTTTTGTGCCAGGCTTAGAATCAGTCATTTAGAGATGCTGCTGTGTTGAAT